GTAATCGTCATGTAGTGTCAAAATATTGCAGATATTAGCCGAACATATTTCGCCATACAGATTCTATTTTAACTCATTCAAATTAAGTAAAGGAATGAGTGTCATTGATCAAAAAATATTTTGACTCCATCTAACGGCATATTTTCCTAATTATAGAAATAGCCATATTTTGAAGGTGTTTCATAAAGGCTCCGGAAACAGAACAAAATACCGTTAAACTACATATTGAACAGGAGGTTGCGTTTTCACAATGAATTCTCGCCAAAAATGTCAGCCTTCGGTTTAAATAATGAATATGCGCTTTCTTGAAGAATCACATCATGCTAGGAAAATTAATTGTAGCGAAAAAAGGAGTTATTTTGTCGTATTAATTACCGGGTACAAAACCGTGGATAATTCCCGTTCGGTTCCATCCTTCCATTGTAGTCGGCTAAGTCACGAAAGGGCTCTATACAAGTGACATCTTTGTAAGGGGTATTATACATACTGTAGCGAGGGGAGGGTTTCTTCAGAGTAGAGGGCTGAACTTACTTTGTCGCTAGCTTATTGACGAGTTTATTTAGTTCCATCGAATCTTTACCACCCATCTAGAAAAAATTCACGAAAACCTAGCTACTTGGTTAGTTGACTTAATGCATTATAACATGCACATATATCCTTGCCTTTTTTCCTCATGTAAAAAACGCACTTGACAGTCTTTAATCAGTTAATTGTATGGGTGATTTCAGATTGATTTGATACTTTAATAACTATTTGAAATTCTTCACCTGTTTATCTAAGATAATTAAATCAGCAATCATGTTTTGCATAGAGATAATCAAACGATCTTTCAAAAGTCATTAAGCTGATTAATATCATATAATTTTTTTTAAAGATATATATGTCAAAACGTTGTATTTTAGTATTTATATGGGTCACTTGTAATTTAATATATTTGAATGTTTTGGTTTTAAAATTATATTAATTTTATTGTTTTCTAATGTCATTGCCCCCTGTTATAAAAATATGTTCCGTTGGTGGTCATACGCCAACCTAACACTGCCCCGTCAAATGTTAACAAGGGATACAAAATCTACCCATGTTCAAAATACTATAGATAATAATACCCAGTCATCCCCTTAAAAAGAAAACTTTTAACTTCTGAAATACGGGTATTTGAGGAAAATAAATCGCTACAATACTCTATTCACATTTCTGAAATTCAAGCCCCGGTTTCACAGATCAAGTCGTAATGAACTGCTGTGAACAAATAATACAAATAGTTAATAACTGTCCCGCACTGAAGAAATAATTATATGTCCATTGGTCACCCGCAATCAATCCTTCACAAATACAAAAGATGGCTGTCTTAATCGGACCGGCTATCATGCGATAAATAGCATGATCCCCGCTAAATAAGCTGTTTTTGATCATACGGTGGGTAATTTTAAGAGGATGAAGCACAATTTATTTCTCTATAAAATTTTAATTGTAGATCACTTAAGGGAATATTTAAACCCACCCTTAACAGTCTTAAGGGGACTTGATATCTTGAAAGAGTTTTGAATTTTTCATGTTTATTCATGAATACCATAAACATAATTAAAAGAAATATATATACATGTATAGGTATTGTTCAGTTTCGTGCATTGTCTTGCATTTATCCAGCATTGTATCAACGATTGTATCAATGTATTGTTCTATGAATAAAAGGGGAAAAATTGAGACGAAGGCAGAGTTGCTATTTTCATAAACCTAAATTGTAAATTTTATCACTCTTACTTGTAAACTTTATCAAGTTTACTTGTAAATTTTATCACTCTTAAGTGTAAATTGATATCACTCTTACTTGTAAACTTTATTAACCTAAATTTACTTGTTAATTTTATTTACCTAAATTACTTGTAAATTTTTACTTCATCACTCTTACTTGTTAACTTTTATCACTCTTTCTTATAAACTTTATCAATTTTACTTGTATATTTTATAACTCTTACTTGTAAACTTCATCACTATTACTTGTTAACTTTTATCACTCTTACTTGTTAACTTGCATCAATCTTACTTGTAAACTTTTATCAGTCTTACTTGTAAACTTCTTTACTTTACTTATAAACTTTACTACTTTTACGTGTAAGCTTTATCATTCGTACTTGTAAACTTTATCCCTCTAACTTGTAAATTGTATTAACCTTAAATTACTTATAAAATTTTACTTTATCACTCTTAGTTTTAAACTTTATCACTCATGCTTGTAAACTTAATCACTCTTACATGTATTTTTTAACCCTGTTTTTTTTTTATCGATAATTGTCGAAATATTATATGTCAAAGTTGACTAAGATGAAATTTAAAAATTACAAAAACAATAATATTTTACACTACTAAGTCTATAAATTCTCTCTATGTTCTGTAATTGGGGTAAAGTGGTGCAAATATGTTAAGTATGAAAGTTTTGTTCACTTTCAATTAAGTTTTGGCGGATAACCTCTCTCTTGTTTCCATCTCATTGTAATTATTTCTAGGTTGAATGTGAAGTTTTGACTTTCAAAATGTGCACTTGAGTTCTAGGATTTTATTCAAACTACTTCATTTTTTCAATTAATCTGGTTCAGAAAAGTTTCATGCTGTGCATCAAATTTAAAGTTATCAATTGAAAATAACTCATTAATCATATAATATTACGAAAGCCTAAATTCTTATATATATGTGAAAGAGATAATTGAAATTTATTTATCAAAAGTAATTTCAATTCATATTTTATCAGTTTTTCCCCATAAGAACACCTTACTCTTTTTTTTACACCGTTGTGCCAACGTTTAAAACAAAATCATATAAAAAAGTAAAAAGGCTTTTTAATTTTCACTTTTATTTTTCCTTGACCCTTGTCAGATTCTATGCCACTGTCTAAGATTTTTTTGTGTTAAAACTCCAATTTTATTGATTAACCATCATATCTGTCAACGGGGACACATAATAATTGATTTTAGCGTTAAATAATGACAATCAAGTCAAAACAGACAATAAAGACAGACTTAAATCATGTTCAGCACTGTGACCCCCAGAAGTTATGTGACCGGATGATTCAAACAGATTCATAATCCCATAGTAATATTCGGGCAAATACCCGAACGATATTACCCGGGAAAATTGTATTTTATGATGTATATAAGTCAAATTCACAGATAAGATTTTGCTAAAAATCAATTTCAAAGATAACTACCTAAGAATTTATCGAATTAAATATCAATTTTCCTAGGATAAAGACATGATGATATGGGCCTTTTCGAGCGTTCAAATTCTGGCGATTTATGGGCACGAAATTATGACCCAAGATCCCAGACCAAACAAAAATTAAACGTGGATGTTGGTATTTTACTCCATAAACTTTCGGAATCAAGGAAAAGACCGACTTAATCGAATGCCTTAAATCAAGGTTGGACCAAAGTCTTCAGTTTTGATGAAACTTTTTTTCATTTTGAACGTAACATAGACCCTGAAAAAATAAAAATCCCCCAAAATGCATTTTAAAGAAAAAAGAACTGAAAGAGTAAACAAAAGAACATGTTTGATTCATTTTAATTAAAAAATAAGAATGCATGTTCTTTTGCGAAAAATGATGACTAACAAAAAAAAAAAAAAAAAAAAAAAAAAAAAACACGGCAATTTATTAAAGATTGTCTGCTTTGTGTTACTTGGAAACGGGTATAGCAATTGTAAAATAAAATTTGAGAAATGCTTCTAATTTGGTAAAATTTGACTATTCACACATCAAAATTACTCTTGAAAGATTAATTTTAATCTTTGTATATCATATAGGCCTAGGCCAAATGCTATCCTTATCAGAAGAAGCAAAGTTGAAATAATTTTTAATTTTTCTTCCAAAAATATTATCTGTACAGATATCGTTCTAGCGTCACATAATTATGAAATGTATCATGTTTACTTGCGATTTAAAAGATTTTCCTTTGAAAATGTAAATATTTGTCAATAGGTATAAATAATCTTGATATTCGATCTGTTCTTAAGTCTGTCTTCACATTACACATTAGTCACCAAAAGCGATCCCCGTTACACGACCTTAAGACCTTTGGTTACACATGAAAAATAACCCCAATAAAAATATATATAATTTAAAAAGATAATAATTATCTGTCTTTGCTTATCTTGATGATGACGTAGTTTTTTAAGCTATGTTCTTGTTTTTGTGATGGATACAACCAAAACACAATTTAAAAAGAAAAGAGCAATTAAAATTGAAAGGGATAAGTTGTGTCAAAACGTTTTTGCAAATTATGAACATCCTGTAATTGTATGTTTCCATCCACGATTGTAAGTTTCCTCTGCAATGAGTAATTCATGCTTCCACAACCTATCGTGCTATATATTCACAATATAGTGGCAAAGCCACCATAAGAAATTTACACCTTCGCAAGTAAAGTACAATACTCTTTATTAAACGTGGAAAGATGCCTTTTCACTGATAATGCTGTGTGACTACAACGTTGTTACACACTTGATTTTCAAAAGGTTGTCTTCATAATATCATTTCAGCATTTAAATTTCAATTATCCGGCACTTACAAAAGCCAAAATGTTTATCTAATTTTATAGGGTGCAATATTTGCACACTTCGATTTTTTTGGCATTAAATGGCTAAATACCCTCGCAATGAACCTGATGAAATGCAATGCATTTATGTACATTTCTGTAGAATAACTCGAAAATGCTTAGTAAGATAATAAGAATGTGTGACTTTACATGAGAGATGATTATTTCGGCATGGACAGTTTACCATGGAGAATGTATGCTACTAGACAATGTCAACATTAATCTACTTTGGTACCATAAAATCTGTCTTGGCTTATTAACTACTGGTCAGGGGGAAAATTATTCTTCCGAGTTCATTTCTGAGAACATTATTGCAAATTGATTAAATTAAAGAGAATTTCAATTTTGAATTTTTATCATAATATTTTGAAAAAAAGTATTGAAAGGAAAACTGAAATTTGACAAACTCACCTAGCTGTGTGAGTATTTCTTCTTCTTTGGTTTTGGTAAGCTCAGTGGCAGCACCAAAGATATCATCGTATTTCGCCGACAGTCTTTCCTTGTATATTGTCAGAAACAATATGTAGATTTCATCTTCGGATATGTCAGCATAACACATTTTCTTATCCCCAAAATTACTAATGACAAAAGTGTTCTTCGACACAGGGGTAAGCTTTTCGACCAGTTCCTGACCTTTATATATTGTAATCAACTCTATTTTGGCACTGTAAGTAAAATCTTTGGACCTGAGGTCTTTGTAAGTTTCATGTACATATCCTGAAACTACTACATCCGCTAGTAGCGTTCGGTTGTATACAGAAAGGGGTTCCCAACCATTTAGCAAAAGAATACAACCTTGTGTCAAAGAAATGATCTCAGACAATGTAAGATATGTTAATATTAATCCATTCAGTTCGTAGCTGTTGAGCCTCATATCTGATCAGCAAATCTCTGGTATCGGGTAGATGTTTAAGCGTCAGGGTAAATAATAATACGTTTGTATATGAGATCATATTTCATCATGCGATGAAGATTATTCAAGTGCCTATGAAAACTTTCTTCACAAAATTATATATCCATAAGGAATTTATGGAAATTTCGAAGAAATCACTTTTTTGGATTAATAGAAATTTTTTGCAAAGTGTACGAAAAATTCCTTAAAAGTAGAAGAAAAAGACAATCAACTCACATTTTTCTTTTTCATTTTAAGGAAAAGAGCACTAATTAATAAAATCCAATAGAATTAAAATCCATTTTAGATGGCCGTTGCAGAAATTATGTTGAACAAGACAATAATTAGCCTTCACATCTCGGGTATTAGTCCTATGATGATAGTAATGTAGCGTAGAGTTCCATTTAATACCATTCATAATTCTGTCTCTCGTACACCCGACCGCGTATTGGCTGTTTTACCCCATCTACACACTCCCCTCTAAGATCCTAAGATATGATTTCTTCATGGGTGAAGTGATAGCTTGGAAATCAACTTTGACGTGAATGAGCGGTAGAGAATAAATATTTAGATCCTTTTCTATAAATATTTCTTTTTGTTAAGAGCTTACTTATTATACGGCGGGGAGTGTGTAATCTTAAAGTAACAGCAGGAATCATTTTCTTGTTGAAAAGCTTTTTCAAATTATCTGACTTTTAGTTTTGATGAGACTTTAAAGATTATGTTAGAGATAAATATTTCATTTTTTTTTTGAAATCTTGATTTAATTTTACCTGAGAAAATTGCCTTCTTAAACACAAAACCTTCCATAGGGTTTATTTGCATGGATGTTCATCATAGATAATTTTAAAGTGCAAAAAAAGTCTTAGTCAAATACACAAAGCGTATAAATATGCAAATATGTCACAATAAAGTTGAAAATATTTTTGGAATAGAGATACAGTTTTGTGGAAGATGTATATTGCAATGATTTACAAAGACAATGTTAAATCTTTGGAGAAATTCAGGTAATCAAAGTTGAGGAAAAAATGCAATAAATCAACAATGTCAACTTTCTGGGTAATTTGCGTGTTAAAATTAAATTAAATTAAATATAACATGAACATAATGAAATACTTTGTTACCTCATCTATAGTTTAATCAATTGTGTACCAAATACTTAATGAAATAAATTTCGCATATATATGAAGACGTTGAAGTTTAGGTGAGTCATTTTCTTGCGGAAAAATAGGGAAACTTTTTTGCCCTGCAACATTGTTTTCGAACATATTCATACAGTGCAAACAAAAAAATTAAATCGTGTTGAGTATTTTTTGAGGGTGTGTAAAATGTTTTAATTCATATCTTTTTGTCAGTGTTTCAACAGGTGTCAAGAAGAAACAGATGCTTCTACAGGAGTGTTAGGATGCTCACGTAAAAAACAATAAAACTACAGGAAGAAGGAATGATACGGCGGAAAACAGGGGCAGATTGGTCTGCGGTTGGTAATAGGTTCATGACTGATTTCTTTTATATATATGTGATTACGTTTTTTAAGTGTTTTTACATGTTTTGGTTTAATTTTATTTCAATTACTGATTAACTTTTTTTTTCCAATTTTTTTTTCAGGCATATATTTTTATATAGTTTTCTTATCTCAACCACCAATATTTATTTCAGATAAATCAAGATGGATTGAAACAAATTTGTTGTAAACAAATACGTTTGCAATTGCAATGACATTATTAATCTTTATGTTTGTTAATTCTAAAAATCGACTTAATTATATCATTCTTCAGTACTAGTAAAAGACTATTTGCCCGGCGGAAAATAATTATGCTGCATGCGAATCTTTAAATGAATTAACAGAAAATTCCTGAACAATTATTATAGAAAAAAAAGGAAAAAACGGGACATCTTAAGAAAAAAAACTGCAGAAGTAAAGAATCATGAAGGAATATGTATGTATGAAAAGAAAGACAACAGATTGATTTAAAAAAGTACAAGCATCTTTATTAGAATTCTCTGAGCTTTTCAGACATGAATCATATGTATACTTCGCACCCGTAAAATACGGCGCTTTAATTCAAAACCACGTTAAAGATTAAATACTATTTGTAAACAATAAATCAATGAAGTAGAAAATTATCATCTATCTTCTAAATGAGCCCTTTTTTTCAATAAAAAATTTATTTCTAAAGCCTTGAGCGATGTTATTTTATGCTTGTTTTATTTCCTGTTGAAATTGCAGATATATCGCGTTATATAATAATGTTATCTATCTCCTTGGGGTTTTTTGGCATGCTTCAACCAACTTTTAAAGATTATGTTGGAACATTCAACAAAATATATTTCTAGCTACGATCTCGGGATACTGTCTCTGGTATTATACGTTCGTCCTTTCCTGCTGAGAATTCATTCACAACGATGGAAATCTTGCTTAAGAATGAAGTGGAAATGTAATCGTACAAAACAATCATTTACCTTACTGTAAAAATGTGCAAATAAAAATATTTCTTAAATAATTTACACTTTTCGTTTCTTATCTTTATTACTAGGAAAAAAATATTTAAATCTAATTTCAGCGAATTTTTTACGAAATGGAAATGACTTGATATATAGTGTTCTACGTCAATGCTGACTATATTTTAGGTTCGCTGAAAATTTATTTTAAAAGATTTTTTTTTATCTTTTTTCATGCTATCTATTATTTTGTCTTCAGCATTCAAAATTTTAACATTCGTGAAAATGAATTAACTATGTGGATAATGGATTAAAATCATTTAAGAAATGCACCATGGGTCATAAAAAGTATTAGCTGCCTTTAAAATACTACGGGAATCATTTTCCCCTCTTATTTGACTCTTGAAAGCTAGAACTATGCTCTATGTAGATTTGAAACATCTTTATTCTTGCTGAATACAAGGGTGATCTCCATTGAGAAGTCTAGAGACATTCACTTAAAGATGACTTTTATTACATGATAGTGAATAATAAACATGTCAACGGAGATGGACACGATTATTAATTACTCTATGATATCTATAATTTACACCAGCATCTTTCAATTGTTTAGTCTTGTAATGGTACACCATTTAAAAAAGTGACACCAGTGGCTATATTTCTGACTCAATTAAGAAGATCGGTTTTCTTAAATCAATCATTCTTTCACTAAAATGAAACGCTACACTAAATAGGAGACAACGATTTATCATTTTTGACTCCACAATTAAGGAAAACTTTGGAAAAAAGCAGGTAATGGAAGTCTCATGAAGGCAAAGTTGTAAAGATGCGCTTAGGTAGCTACAACTCCCGGTTTTGATAAAATGTTCGTTGGCTTTCAAACTCAACTAGAAATTTTGTAAAGCCATTGTCAAACACCTAATGGTTGAAGATGCCGCGATAGTGATTGAAAATGATAGTGGGTATGGGGCGATAATTTAACCTGCACAGTATGTGATAATCATTTTCATTACAAGAGGCGACCGAGCTGAAAAATGCTTTTTTCAACAATTGGAGAGTCTTTATGAATGTACGTCTGATCTTATAGTGATTTTTGTCAGTTACTTCAAACAGCCCTCTGATTTTTTTTCTCCCTATCTCCTGTTTTCACCCACTGTTGCTATAAGGTCCAGTCAAAAAATTTTCACGCCATGGTACACCAGAAAGACATTTAATGGTGAGTGAAAGCTTATCTTAAACCTAGCAAAAACTACGAATGTGATTTTTTTTTTGAAACTCTGATATATTCATAATATAACGAAGAGCAGACAAATAGATGTCTAGATAGCTAATTGTTGGCATATCGGAATCGATTTTAACCCTCAAAGCAACATATACAAATGCACAATGCAAAGATTTCACTATTCACTATAAAAATAAGCAATCAAAAGAAACCCAACTTTATTTTTCAACATTTGAAAGAATACCATATACAATACTAGTATCCGATTCCCTGCTTTCAGTGAAGTTCTGTTTGTCTAGGCGTCTTTCAGTTTCTCTGAACATGTTAGTGCTTCTTTCATTTAAAATATTTCCCATTTAAAACACAATACTCTCTCATTACTGTAAACCATGTTACAATGAACTACCATGCTAATCCTCTCATTCACTGTTCATATGCATCGTATGCCCGTAAACGGAATGGAGACCGTCAAGAGGTCTCTTGAGGGTCCAAGGCGGAGTATTGGTTGGATGGTAGGCAGGGGTAAACCACCCCCTAATATTTAGGTGTTTTAGAACAGAAATTAAAAGATAAGACATGAAAATGGAATCATCTCTGTGACCTTCCAACTTTAAATTTAGTCAAGCCTGTTTGATGATTTCATACTTTACCAACTAAAAAAAACCTGTTCACATTTTTATACAAGCCTCTCCACACCAAAGAGAAATCTGCATGAGAATTACTCATATTACAAAACTAAGCCTGGGCTAGAGTTCTACAGGTAAATCTTCAGAGTACTAGTAAATGAGCAAAATATCAATGCTAGACGATGCTTATTCCTCTATGGTACCTGATCCCTTTCCTGATATTTCAAGAGTCCCGTGTTTGTTCTTCTTCTGATCTGTTTTGTTTAGATGGACTTTTAAAATTGTTTGTTATCTCTATATTTAACCAAACAAACACTGACATAGCCTTAGCCCAAGAAACATGGCTTTGACCAGATATCAATGACCGCGAAGTCATACACTATCATATAGGAATAGCAGACTATCAGACGCCTACGGTGAATTGCAATCTCAGTCAGCTCTAATATACTAAAATACGGCTTCAAGTGACTTCTAATGCGAAATAGTGGCAGTCGCCTTCCTTATAACGGTAGCTTAAAGAAGCCTTTGGTTAAGGGATCGGTTTATAGTTCACCTAACAGGGATTGGTTGTGCTTTATAATCCGTTCTTTGTCAGACAAGAAGAATGCATGGTTGATGATGTGGTTTGGAGGAGATATGAATACTCACCAAGCCATGGTTTGATATATAACATCACTCACAGCCAACACAATCCAGCAGTCATGAATTTTGCTTTTATTGACACCATCCATGGAATTAGTATAGTGAACGGATTGTAAACTCACCAACGCTCAGGGGGAACATGAAGATATATCAATCCCATTCTTGTAAACAAGTGTGTCAATATTAGTGGTCCATGTGAAAGAGA